AATGTTCGAAAGCCTCCTGCGACGCCTGCCTCAGCACCTACCCTTACGACCCCTGCTGCAAAAAGAGCGAGCTGCACAAGTTCATGCCCAACAACCAGCTGAACTACAAGTCTGCCCAGTTCTCCCATCTCGTGTACAGATAGACTCGACCTTGCACCTCCCTGCTACAAGGGCTACACCACTGACCTTTCTGGTTTCATGGGGAAGAAAAGTTAACACGTTGATCTCAGAAGCAGAGGCCTGCGCTTAACCACGTGGTTGTGGGGGGGGGATCGTGTGGCCTGCTGCCCCACGTGGGAGTTCCCGTATCGACTCATATGTCAGCTGATGGCTGCTTTGCCACCTGGCAAGAGAGACGGGTGGCACTTGCATTCAGATTCATTTTTGCTATCACTCCCTGTTCCGTTCTTTTGTTTTTGTCTCTCAAAGAGGATTTCTATCTCTGGGACTCTTGCCATGCCGACTGCTCCCACGGCAAAGCCAACTTGGACTGGGAAGGGCCCTCCAGGTCCCCTCCAAATGCCCACCTGGAGTGGTGAGCTAGAGGCCTGTTGGCTTGTGAAATGAGCCCTCCTGCCACACCGGGCCTCATCCACTGGCTCATCCCTCCATCACCCTTTCCCAAACACGAGGATCCCCGGTGGCAGGCCCCCACCCAATTTCACTGCCTCTCCACATATCGAAGGTGACCTGAATCCAGGATTCGCTTAATGTCATCCTGTTGCCTCCACAGCTCAGTTCAGCCTTGGGGTTTGTGAAGTTGGCTCTAGCTCTCTGAAGGGTGGACCTTCCACACTGGGACTGACTTTTCCCCCCTTTCTGTTGTTTGCACATGCCTCTCTTACTCTACTGTAAATAGATATTTTTGAGATTTATTTTTAAATAAATATTCAACTTGCTGTGTGTTTCAAAGTGGTTAAAACATTAACGATGTAGCTATTTATAAAAATGCCCCGGGTTCTTTAGTCTTCCAAGGGAGGGGCTGGTGCCCTTCCACCTTGTATCCTCCACTCGCCACAGCCCGAGGGTAGAGTGGAGATTGCAGGGGCAGAGGAAGAACAGAGACGATGTCCCCTGAGTTGGTGGAGGGCCACTGTCTTCCCTACAATAAATTTCTAACACCTACCTCCAGTGTGCACTTAGGGGGTTAGTCCGGCCCGAGAGGTCTGTGCGCCTGCAGACTGTGACAACCTAGTGACAATTCAGGAACCTCACCCTGTGGATCTCCAGCCTGGTCTTTGCCGCTTGCTGAGCGTGAACCTTGCACTCCAAACTTCTTGAGTCTCAATTCAGGAGGAAAGTCGTTTGGGATTCCCGCCACCCCTCTATCTCAGTCCTCTTCTCTTCACCTGTTGCCAGGATTCCTCTGCAACATTTGTGACCTTTTTGCACTAAAAGTGGGCAGGAGCCGGCGTGTGCCCGTCAGACAGATGTGTCCTGAGATTCTTAGCCGAGCCTCAGCGCTTCTAAACCCGAAGCCCTCTTAAACTCCTCGTGTGAATTGCTGACCCCGGATTTCCTTTTGGGGCACAGAGCAGGAGTGGGGCAAGAATTTGAAAATAAAACTGCTTCCTTGTGAACTAACAGTATATTTTAGCCATAAGTGTTTGTGATGTACAGAACGTTGTAGGAATTTACATGCAGTGGGTATTCTGATAGAAGGAGGTATTCAGCTCTTGAGCAAATTTAAATCTGGCTGAATCCTGAGGCCACTGTGAATTTGCTGATGTTCTTCCAACTCAGTTGCGTGATTTTAAGGTTTTCAAAATCTTCTATGGCTCATTTTCTATATATCTAGTAGATCACGTGTAGATATTCAATGTGTATATAAAGCTGAATTTCAACCAACTTTATTACTAAGACCCACCCATTCTGGGGCATTCATCTCTGATATTCTTCCTTTTCACGTTTCAGAAGTGTCCGTGCCTGTCCCAGTCCTGAGTTTTCTAGTTTTCCATTTCCAGACTGCTCTAGCACTACACTAACTCTTTTAACCAACCGTGATGCCACGTAACTTACACAGCAGACAAAAGTAGGAATAACTAACTTGTCCTGGAAGAGAAAGGCCAGTGTGTGTATCATCACGGAAATACTGTGTTCGTGGACTGGAATAGGAAATGCTGTGACCATGCTCCTCCTCGTTGTGTATCTTATTGTATGAGGTTGCTGTGACAGATAAATACACGCTAACTTAAAAAAGCAGATGTTTTGCATTTGATTTCTACCAAGAGTTGAAATGTTGAGAGATGATTTAAAAAAAATAAATAAAGTGTCTTCCATTGTTAAATGAAGTGTTTGGGGTTTTATGTCCCTCCTCCTTGCTGCTTTGAAGTTTGGGTTGCTTGGGGTTTTTTGTTTTTAAATTTAACTTCAAGAAAATTTATTTATTTATTTATTTATTTATGGCTGTGTTGGGTCTTTGTTGCTGTGCGTGGGCTTTCTTTAGTTGCAGTGAGTGAGGGCTACTCTTCGTCGCAGCGCGCAGGCTTCTTGTTGTGGTGGCTTTTTTTGTTGCAGAGCGCAGGCTCTAGATCGCAGGCTCAGTAGTGGTGGCACACGGGCCTAGCTGCTCTGTGGCATGTGGGATCTTCCTGGACCAAGGCTTGAACCCGTGTCCCCTGCATTCTTAACCAGGCAGGTGGATTCTTAACCACTGCGCCACCAGGGAAGTCCGGTTGCTTGGGTTTTTCGGTGTTTTTTTGTTTGTTTTTGTTTTTTTTGCTCAAGCCATGTTTAGTTCTTTAGTGACAGGACTCACATTTTCTCCTCCATTAAACTGACAAATAATAACAGCCAGCATTTGAGTGCTTATACTGTGAGCCAGGCATTTTATACGCTGAGACTTTACGTTCGTGATCTCATATAATTGTCTCAATCCTCCTAGAAGATAACATAAATCCTGTTCTGATCCCCATCTTACCAATGGGGAAACCAAGGTGTTCAGAGTTCAGCCGTGTTTCCTAGGAGTGAGACTGCAGACTCCAGGAGAAGTGATTGTTGGTGGTGACCTGACAGGAATTAAATAACATTGAAGGGCGTTGTGAAAAAAATTAATCCCGTTTAAAATTTTTTTGATCCGTTTAAATGCCCTAAGGAGGATTGTGGTCAGTGTAATGCAAGTTTGTCTTTAACAAAGAGAAAGCAGGAGTCAGGCTGAGAACCTCTGGCAGAATCTTAGGTTTTCAGTTACCTTCTATTTAGGGCAGGCCATATTGGGGATTACTTTAAAAATCAATTTAAGGTGTTTTTAAAAATGAAGTTTCCTGAAACTAATATAACATATTGTAAATCAACTGTACTTCAATAAAAATAAATAAATAATGGTTGACTTAAAAGCAAAATGTATTGCAAAAATCTTAAGAGTGGTATAAGAGCAGCTGTGGTTTGGGACATCCTGTCTTTATGCACTGGTGGGGTGTCTGTGCCACCATGCTGACCACTCTGCAGGGTTGGACCCCACAAAGCTACTCAGCTGTCGGGGAAGAGACTGAATGGTTTTCTCCATCTCATTCACTGGCTGAGCAAATATCCAGGCCTTGGACCAGACCAAGGCCCAGGTACTGGGTTTGGTTTTAGTGACAGCATAGGAAATGGCACTGCCATCCTGGCTACCAGGAACAGCAGCTTCCTAGAGATGAACACCCAGCCTGGGAGCGCAAAGGAAGCCAGACACTCACTCCCGTATCTAAAGCGGAGCAGAGACTCTGAGCAGATTGCTTAATTTGTATATGTAAATGACAAGCATATTTAAACATCCTCAGGCCCACCAGTTGTACAACATTAACATTAGCCTTGCTGCCAGCTCTGTACCCCACACTACATTGCCAATTGGACCCCAATCTCTGCTCACCCTTTCTCCCTTGGTAATAGAAGCCTTGAATTTTAGACATCTAGCCATCCAGAATAAAGACTGCCTTTCCCAGCCTCTCCTGCAGCTGGGCATGGTCATACGGTTATGTCTGGTCCCTAGGATGGAAAGATACCGTGTGTGGCTTCTGAGACGTGTCCTTCAAAGAAAGAAGCTTGTTCTTCCCACCCTGGCTGCGCTGGCTGGAATGGAGCAGCCATGTGAGACTCTGAGGCAGAGGCCAAGTGAAGGGGGCTGCAGTGAGCAGCTGGAAGAGGCTGGGTCCCTGATGCTTAGGAAGCCACCATCATACCTGGCCTGCCCCACCTACCTTCAGAGTTTTATATGTGAGAAGTAAACTTCTATCTTGCTTAAACCACATTTTTTCCATTTGCTCATTTTGGAAAGCTTTTTATTTACAAAAGAAGTGAGACTACTCTAATGATGCCTCATGTACGTGGAACGCAGGACTTCAACAGTTCAACGGTTAACAGCTTTTGGCCAATCTGACTTTTTTCTGTACCTGTCCCTCCACTTGCCCCACTCCTAAGTTTCTTAGAAGCAAATTCCAGACATCTGTTTCACTTGTGAACATTTCAGTACTTGTATCTAAAAGACAAGGACTTTTAAAACAATACCGTGATCACATCTAAATTTTTATAACAGTTTCTTAATTGTAACAAACACCCATTCACTGTTGGCAGGTCCAGTTGTCTTATAAGTGCATACTTTTAAAACTGTGTGTTTGCGTTGGGGCCCAAATAAGGTCTCACGTTGTTGCAATGGATAGATCTTTAAATCACATTTATCCTAAAGGCTGTCCCTATAGAAGGACATTTTCCTCTTTCTCTTCTTTTCCCTTGAAATGTATTTGTTGAAGAAATCGGATTGTTTGTCCTTTAGTTTGCCAGAGTCTAAATTTTGCTGATTGCATCCCCTGCTGTTGTTTATCACATTCCTCTGTTCTCTCAACCTCCTGAAAATTGGCAGCTGGCTCTTCTTTTTTTTACAGTTTCTTACTGTTTGTTTGAACATGTTGTACAAAAGTAGGAAAATAAACATTTCTTCTGCAGCTCCATAAATAAAGGGTTAGATGAAATAACTTAAGGCAGGGTTGGGGCTTAGTGCATAAGTAAGGTCTGGGTCCAGGTTTTCAGATATTCAGGTCTCCACTGGCAACAATTCTCAGGTCCCTTATGAGGAGGCAGAAGAGGTTGAATGTGACAGAGGCCTCGAGACAGCCTTGGGACTCCTCCTTTGTGGCCTCCTGGAGCCGGCACAGCCAGTGGTGGAGGCGGCCCGGGGCTGGGATTCTGCTGTGGGCCGAGCCGGGATGCAAGCCTGAAGCTCGGAGTGGATGTGGCGCAGCGTGTGCAGCAGCTGGTCCAGGATGACCCCCGAGGACGAGTCTGCCACAGCACCCAGGACCTTCAGCGTCAGGTCTAACTCTGCCTCCAAGGCCACAGGGCGCTCCCACACCTGCCGCTGCCTCAGGTCCCGGGTCCTGGGGAAGCGGTGAGAGCTGCAGCTCCAGTTCTTCAGCGAGAGCAACTCTTCTGAGGCATCCTTGGCTTTCTTGAAGCCCTCCAGCTCCCTTGGCAACAGAGATTGGAACCGGCGCATGTGGCAGCCCTTCCCGGTTGTGGTGGGCTTGGATGTGGGGACAGGGCCTGCTCTGGCCAAGTCCAGCATCACAGTCACCAACACCAGGACCCAAGCTGCAGCCATGGCTAAATCCCAACTGCTTCTTTGGCCCCATGGCTCTGCTTTTAGCCAGGTTCACTGGGCAATCCCAGCTGATGTGTGTCAAGTGAAAAGGCAAATGGAAATAGGAATCTCCACTTTGATGGCAAAGGCACGAGTGTGGGGGTCCAGTCGCCGAATGAGGTGAGCCCGGAACTGTGCCAGGAAGGAAAGAGATACTGAAATTCAGTCACAGGAGAGAACTTTGCTTCTGAGAAGTCTCTGTGCCTGGAGAATCTCCAGGTTAGGACTCCTGGGGGCAGCCTTTAGCTCGCTGACTTTGGGGAGCCTCCGAATGAGGCTGAGGCAGGTGGAGGGATGGGAAAGTGGCTCGAGGACTCTCACAGTGGGGTAGGGACCTGGCGGGTGTGGGTGAGGCTGCCTGAGTGGCCGAGAAGGGGCATCCCTTGAATGTGCAGAAGTTTTAAAGTTTGCTGTGGTCCCCTTTTCTACTTTTGCTTTTGTTACCTATGCTTTTGGTGTTATAGCCAAGAAATTGTTGCCAAATCCAATGTCATGAAACTTCTCTCTGTTTTCTTCTAGGAGCTTTTTAGTTTTAGGTCTTACATTTGAACTTTTAATCCGTTTTCAGTTTTGCGTATGGTGTAAGGTAAGGGGCTAACTTCGTTCTTTTGCATTTGGATATCCAGTTTTCCCAATACCATTTGAGGAGACTGACCTTTCCTCATTGAGTGATCTTGGCATCCCTGTTGAAGATCTTTTGACTACATACATGAGGGTTTATTTCTGGCCTCTCTATTCTGTTCCATTGGACCATATGTCTATATTTATGCCAGTACCACACTATTTTGATTACTGTAGCTTTATTTATTTATTTATGGCTGTGTTCAGTCTTCGTTTCTGTGCGAGGGCTTTCTCTAGTTGTGGCAAGCGGAGGCCACTCTTCATCATGGTGCGCGGGCCTCTCACTGTCGCGGCCTCTCTTGTTGCAGAGCACAGGCTCCAGACGCGCAGGCTCGGTAGTTGTGGCTCACGGGCCTAGTTGCTCTGCGGCATGTGGGATCTTTCCAGACCAGGGTTCGAACCCGTGTCCCCTGCATTGGCAGGCAGATTCTCAACCACTGTGCCATCAGGGAAGCCCTGTATGTAATGTGTTTTGAAATCAGGAAGTGTGAGGCCTCCAGTGTCGTTCTTCTTTTTCAAGATTGTTCTGGCTATTCGGGGTCCCTTGAGATCCCATATAAATTTTAGGATTTTTTTCCCATCTGTGCAAATATGCCATTGGGATTTTGATAGGGATTACATTGAGTCAGTAGACTGCTTTGGGTAGTGTGGACATTTTAATGATATTCAGTCTTCTAACTCATGAGTACAGGATGTCTTTCCATTAATTTGTCTCTTCTTTAATTTCTTTCAGCAATGTTTTGTAGTTTTTGGTGTACAAGTCCTTCACCTCCTTGGTGAAGTTTACTCCTAAATATTTTATTCTTTTGGATGCTATTGTAAGTGGAATTGTTTTTGTAATTTTCTCCTCAGATTGTTCAGTATTCGTGTATAGAAATGCAACTGATTTTTGTGTGTTGATTTTGTATCCTGCAACTTGGCTGAACTCATTTCTTAGTTCTAATAGGTGTGTGTATGTGTGTAATCTTTAGGGTTTTCTACATAAGATCATGTCATCTGAGAACAGATATAATTTCACTTCTTTCCAGTTTGTATGCTATTGATTGATTGATTGATTGATTGATTTATGCTTAATTGCTCTGGCTAAGACTACCAGTACTATGTTTAATAGAAGAGGCAAGAGTGGGCATCGTGGCCTCTTCTAAAGGAAAAACTCAGTCTTTCATCACTGAGTATGAAGTTAGCTGTGGTGTATGTGTTTTTATATGTGGCTTTTATTATGTTGAGATAGTTTCCTTCTATTCCTAGTTTGTTGAGTGTTTTTTATCATGAAAGTATGTTGAATTTTGTCAAATGCTTTTCATGCATTAATTGAGATGATCTTGTCATCTTTGTTCTTCATCCCATTAATGTGCTATATCACATGGTAGTTGACTTTTGAGGCTTGCTCAGATGTGGGTATGCTTTTTGTTGTTGTTGTAAGAATACTTCATAGATTTATTTTCTTTCATCAGGAGGCACATGATGTCGAGTTCTCTCCCTTTGGGATATTAATAGCTGTTAAGGCTGTTACTCAGGACTTAGATCCATTATTTCATCAGAGCATGCAAAATGGAGATATTCCAATTCTAGTCTTGTTTGGCAACTGGAATACTTCTATAAAAAGAAACTTTTCTGTAGTGGTGTGACTCTATATCTGGGACAAAACTGCATGGAACTAAACACACACACACACACACACACACACACACACACAGAGGACAGCACGTAAAACTGGTGTAATCTGAACAAGGTCTATGCCAATGTCAGTTTACTGGTTGTGATACTGCTTTATAGTTGTGCAACATGTTACCCCTGGGAGAAACATGGGTACATGGGACCTTTCTGTACTATTTTTGCAACTTCCTATAAATCTATGAATTAAAAAAAAAGTTAAAGACAAAGAAACTTCCCTCATCTACTATTTGACTACCAGTGATATAGTTTAAGAAAAGCAGGATAGGGACTTCCATGGTGGTCCAGTGGTTAAGACTCCGTGCTTCCACTGCAGGAGGCACAGGTCCGATCCCTGATCAGGGAACTAAGATCCCGCATGCCGCACGGCCAAAAAAAAGGTGGGGGGATAGATGCATACTTCTTTGCCTTTATTTATTTATTTATTTATGGCTATGTTGGGTCGTGCGGGCTTTCTCTAGTTGCGGTGAGCAGGGTCTACTCTTCGTTGCAGTGCGTGGGCTTCTCATTGTGGTGGCTTCTCTTGTTGTAGAGCACGAGCTCTAGGCACACGGGCTCAGTAGTTGTGGCTTGCAGGCTCTAGAGTGCAGGCTCAGTAGTTGCGGCACACGGGCTAATTTGCTCTGCAGCATGTTGGATCTTCCCAGACCAGGGCTCGAACCCGTGTCCCCTGCGTTGGCAGGCGCATTCTTAACCACTGTGCCACCAGGGAAGCCCTCTTTGCCTTTATTTTTACTTAGAATAATGAATTGATGCCTTAGAATTCCCCAGCAGTGACTGATTTTTTAAAAGTATATTATTATGAACTCATTGATTTCCATATATTTTAAGTATTTCAATCCATTACATTATTACTGTTATTGATGCTCAAATTCCCGTCTTTGTTCAGTCAGAACCTCTTCAAGCTGGCTCCTGAGTCCTGACCTGACCCTGAAACCTCTGATTGCTTCCTCTCTGTTTGGTATGACAAGGGGCTCCATGTTCATCTTTGTACATTTCCTGCCCAACTCCTGGACTCAGATGTTTCTCCAAAGAGCCCTGGGTCCTTTTGCTGTGAAATGACTTTTGGATACCAAAGTCCGAGAGCTAAGGGTGCTCACTGCCACTGGGTTGGTCATTGTTTCCAGGTCTTTTCAGTGAGCAGAGCTAGCAATAGGTTTATATCTCTAAAAACACAAAGTACGTTGTAAGTTCATACTTATACTTAAATTAAAATTCAGGACCACAGGATTTTTGCTCAACCTCATTTCTCTTTTATTCCCATGCTGAGGATCCTGGTTCTCAAGGGGTTCAGGGAAGCCACTACTAGTTTTGATTTTATCACCATAGCTAGACCTGATCCTGAAAGGAGGGAGTCACCTGGGACAACCCTTGGAGAGCATCTCAGTTACTCACCACAGAGCGGGAAGAAGGACTAAGGCTCAGAGAGCGTGAGGAGCCTTTGCAAGTTTGCACATATGATTAACTCCTGGTTGCCCATGGCTCTGTTAGGAAATGAAATATCAGGGATACAAGTGAAGTCAGGGTAGGTGTCATGTGGTTCAAATGCAGCTCCTCACCTTCCTTCCCCTACCCCAGAGGAGCCCTGGATCCTGGGGTTGACTTTTCCAGCCTTTCTTCACACTCTGCTACACTTGGCTGCATCCCTAAGCACTACTGTTTCACAACATCATTTTGCCTGGTTTTATATGTACTTATTCATCTGCGGCTTTCTTTCTCCCCTCCTTTCAGTATTTTGAGATTTATCCATGTTGATATGTTATTCTAGTTTCATTCATTCATCCATCCATCCGTTCTTGCTGCTGTATACCGTTCCTTACATTACTGCGCCACTGTTTAATCCATTCTCCTAGTGGGAAACAGCTCGTTTCCAATAATTTGCTATTACAAATATTCTTGTAGATGTCTCCTGAGTATGCATGACTATGTAAGAATTTCTATAGGGCAGCGTGGGCAAACTTTTTCTGTAAATGGCGATAGTGAATATTTTTGGTTTTGGGAGACAAGAGGCAAAAAAATATATATATATATTTATATTTATATATTATTATATAGATAATATAGAACAAAGAAAACAAATTTCCACGAATTTTTTATTAAAACATTCAAAACTTTATGGACATTAAACTTTGAATTTCATATAATTTTCACGTCGTGAAATACTGTTCTTTTGAATTTTTTTTTCCAACCATTTCAACACGTTAAAATCCCAGGCTCAGCTCTCTGGTGGTACAGAACAGGAGACAGGCTGGGCTTGGGCCCCAGGCAGTAGTTTGCCTCTCCTTGCTCTCTAGGGCTTAAACCAAGGAGAGGACTCGCTGGATTGAAGCGTCCCAGGCGTCTTTAACTTTACTAGGCACTGCCAGGTGCTCTTCAAAGTGAATTCTATCAATTTAGACCCTCACCAGAGCATGATGAGACTTCTTATTTCCCTAGTGCTTTTTTTCTTCACTTTTTAAAAATCTTTTTAAAATTTATTTTTAAATTCTTAAAAATTTTATTGAAATATAGTTGATTTACAATGTTGTTAGTTTGAGGTGTCCAGCAAAGTGATTCAGTTGTACATATATATATATATATATATATATATATATTTTAGATTCTTTTCCATTATAGGTATACTGAAGATATTGAGTATAGTTCTGTGTGCTATACAGTAGGTTTTT